TCTCTGTCACCGTTTGCTTTTTTTTTTTTGAATGGCGCTCTCCTATTGGTTGGCTACGATCACGCCACCTTTGCCCCCCCCCCCCCACTCGCTTTTTGGTTTTTGTAACTATTGTGTTGGAGCGGGTCGCTCCTTAAATAAATGCATATATTAGTTAATAACTAAATGGAATCCTCTCTTTCTTTTTCCCAGTAAGAGACGCCTACGGAAGCCAACAGTACATAGACAGATAAAGCACAGAGGCTATAGTTATTAACTAATATATGCATTTATATAAGGCGCCAATTTATAATTGTAACAAATAGTATTTGAATAAAAACATTCAATCGAGTAAAACACGGGCGTTGCCCGGGTCATTCGGCTAGTATATAATATATACAGTCTACATTGGTGGCACCCACTGCGGGAAAGACTCCGCCACCGATGGACTGCGAGAGTTCTTTCCCACAGAGTGGGCAGGTCGATGTGATGGCTGGTGTTACCCAACTCAAGAGAGAGAGATACATTTTTTTTTGCTTATCCCTAGTACACGTGGTACAGGCCATGATAATCAAGGTGGGTAGTTAGCGACTGCTTTTACTGTAAGCGCACCACATATCTACACATGTGAAAAGCAGTTCGACTTTGCACTTACAAATGTGCCAGAGCCCCGTTTGGTTACTTGCACTCGCTAGTGGGGTTGGACTTTTGCAAGAAACGGGGGCCATTGGAGCATTTTTTTTTAAACAGAAAAAAGTGTCCAATGCGTGAATCGAACCCGGGTCGCAGTGGTCGAAAACCAAACTGTTTAACCAGCCTTCCACCGACCCCGAGATACAAATAAAGGTTTTAAAAGTTCAAATTCGAATGCGATGTTTCAGCATATTGATTGATTTATGAATTCAGAAAAAAAATTCAATAATTCGACACTGTTCAGAGATGCTAACGGACAAGATGTCCTCTTGTCATCCTTCCTTCCGCAAAAAAAAACTCATAAACAATGTCACTTTTCATTAAGAGATTGAATTTTTAAATTGAATTCTTCAAACCTCTAGACAAAAAAAAGTTTTTGTAAAGAAAAAAAAGTTTGAGATTTTTTTTTTTTTAGAAAGACGGAGAAGTTGACCCAACTTGAAGAAAACAAACTAGTGGAAAGAGGAAGCGAAGTCTTCTCGGTTTTGGAAGGAATTTCTCTATCTAGCTACTTGGTGGCAATTTTTGTGTTTCATTGGTGAGATACTTACCTACCGGAATCTAATCCTTATATTATATATAAGTCAGTGTATGTATGTATGTTTGTCGGCTATACACGTCCACAATACGTAACTAATCTGACTGAAATTTTAACAGTATATATAGTAGAATCTGGAAAAACTTATAGTGATCATTTCAGGTCTCTATCCCGAATATTCGTCGAGTTATTTGTAAATTTGCGTTGTAATTATTTTTTATTTTTATATTTTAAAAACACACAAAGGTTGGAGCGGGATGTTTCACAAGAGTGACATCCACGGCGCCAATTTATAATTGTAACTAATAGTATTTGAATACAAAAATTTAATCGGGTAAAACCCGAGCGTTGCCTGGGCCATTCGGCTAGTAATGTATAATGATGCATTAGCGCGCCATCTGTTATGAAAATTCGAAACTATTATAGACGCATATGATTATTTTAAAAATAAAACAATTTACTACCCTTACTACAATGTAAAAATTAATTGGAGGGCCTGGCTCATCAGTGAAGAACCTTCCCAGCTGTTTCACCAGTTTAATCTATCATACCGCTGTTATATTGCATTTTTCGGTTTTCCTTTTATAGCGATACTGATGCTAGACTCTTGGAATGGGTATTTTAGATTAACTATGGACATTAATTTTTTTCATTGCAGTAAGGACAGTAGAAATTGTTTTATTTTTAAAAGAATCATACGCGTCTATAATAGTTTATAATTTTCATAATAATGTATAAATTCACATCAACACGAGAGTGCAGAGAGAAAAGTCACATATATTTTATTAATATTTCTTCACTAAAATTCATTGCTTAGAGTTAGGGTAGAAGGCTGGTTAAACCGTTTGGTTTACGACCACTACGACCCGGGTTCGATCCCCGCATTGGACACTTTTTTCTGTTTAAAAAAAAAAAAAATGCTCCAATGGCCCCCCAATTCTTGCAAAAGTCCAACCCCACCACCGAGTGCAAGTAACCAAACGGGGCTCTGGAACATTTGTAAGTGCAAAGTCGAACTGCTTTCACATGTGTAGACATGTGGTGCGCTTACAGTAAAAAGCAGTCGCTAACTACCCACCATGATTATCATGGCCTGTACCACGTGTACTAGGGATAAGCAAAAAAAAAGGGTAGAATAATGGCCGCCACATTCCAGTACATCTATCCAGATGGGGAAGATGTTTCACTTGGTATTGGTTGAGGTTAAGTTCAACCAATTGGTTGAATCTTGATCCATCAGGAGACTCTTGATAGGGTAGAGTGGAGGACTCCTGCAGGTACTGAGGCCACTGTGGTCCCTGTCTGTAGTCCCCCCACTGTGGGAGGCCATATTTTGAAAAATTGCAAACAACACGAGAGTGGATGGTATGAAAACTAGTAAGGAACCAAATAAGAACCTAGGAAATAAAATGGCCTCTCCTTTATATGAAAACTTTTTTTTACAAAATCAGTAAGCAATACAGTTACAGTTTTATTTAGCTATTTTTTCTTTCTCTAGCTTCCTCAGGCAACATGACCCCTTCAATAGGATAACTAGAAGTATGACTCCCAGATAATTATACACATTTTATAGTTATATAGTTAGCTGGAAGTCATACATCTAGGTCTCCTTTTGAAGGGGTCATGTTGTCCCGAGAAAGAAAAATAAAAAGAGTTAAAGAAACCTGACCCTGTATTGCTTGTTGATTTTGTAAAATTGTAAAGATAAGGAAGAATATTATTAAACCTTTAATTAAAAAGGAATATATTGGATCAAAATATAATTTATTTGCCCAATATTTTAGTTGGCTAAACGCCAACCTTCTTCAAGATTTGTTAACAGGCCGACTTAGCTCCAAAAGAAATGGCCAGCTCTGACCTGAGAAACAGACGCCATGTACAGCCCTCTTAACATGGAGTACAAACGCTGCTCATCCTGTATCCCTGGATCAGGAGCCCTTACAGGGTACTATCAGCCGGGCCAGCTGAGCCCAGATTTTTAAGTGATCTTGTTACTGCTCCCTTCCTCCTTTTTCGTCCGGGCTTGGGACCGGCAAAGGCGGAGTTAAGTACTGAGTAGTATATACACTGAATAGTGCTCTCAATCTTAATGATAAAGGCAGAAGCATTCTACTTCACCCAATCATGACGGTTGTCATTTTGACTGGATTGTTTCATCCATTGATGAGCTCTACTTATCCCCGGCAGACACCATCAACAGTCTCTAACTCTTCAGGCTTGACACCCTGATATGTTTGAGTGGGGATAAGAAAGAAGAAGAAGAATATTTGCTAGAGTATGTTATTTTCAGGGTATTATAATAACTTGGAAAAGGTTGGCGTTCAGCCAACTGAAATATTAGTTAAATAAATTATATTTTGATCCAATATATGTTTTTTTAATTAAATATCTATTTATGGATTGTTCTATTTTCAAAATTATAAAACCTATTATAAAAGTCAAGCCGTAGCACGGTTGTAGTACGTGTTACTATGTGTGTTTCGATTTATCCTTGTCTTAATCCGAGGGTCAACAAATTTATAACTGGATAAATGGACGTTTGATAAAGGTCTTCTTTTTGGTTTATATAAATTCTACAAGGCCGCAGTCACCTTTCGTAGGAGATTAATAGAATCGCCGAATGTCGTGATTCATTTGGATGAGGAAAGCGAAGACTAGAACGCGGCTGATTCCATACTAGCCTGTTCAGTGATACGCTAACCTTGACGTATGCACGAAGGAACGTGTAGCCACTGGACATGCGTCGGACCAGGAGGCTGTTGTTGGGTGCTGCGCTGCCTGGAGTACAGGAGCTCCATCTATGATTTCTTCCTGTGGTGAATAAGACCGGTGGTCTTAATAAAGCTTTGTGTTTGTGTGTGTGTGTGTGTATTTCGTGTTACGGTAGTTTAGGTTCGAAACTGGGTGTTGGTATTTTTTATATAAAACTATTGTGACACGGAATGTGTTAGAAAACTATTATAGTATTAGTAAGAGACCCGTTCCTCTGAAACAAAAGCGAATTTCAAGACTCGGGCTTTATCATATTACTTCTAGGGTCGTCCTCTCTTTATAGACACTCTTTGAGGAAATTATATTATTAATTAATTATTATAATTATTTTAATGGTAAACTATTAATTTTTCTAATCGAGTATTAAAGATTAAAAGTTCTTAATAAAGCTTGTGTTGTTGTTGAGAATTAATCTGTGAATATTTATTGTTTATCATTAATCTGTTTTTTTAATTCTGTTTGACCATTGATCATGTGTCATGCAAATGTATAAATTGTAAGATTGTGAAAATAAAGTGTCTCAGAGTATCAGTATGCTTGCTTGTGCTTCCGTAGTGACGTTGGTCGGAAAAGAATTCACGAGGTAGACGGCAGTAGAGTGGAGCCTCATAGGAGCAAAATACAGTCCTCTAAGTGGAGCTAACAGTTGTTTTAATACAGAGAAGATTAGCATGGCCAACTGCGCAAGGATGACAAGCAAAATCGGGAAGCGTTCATCCTGTATTGGGAATTCGAGAAATGTTTGTTGCTGTTTTAAGAGATATTTGAATGAAGCGGAATCATATACGATCTCTCTTCACTTTTAGTTTAAATCTTAATTTGGTCTGCTTTATTTATTTTTAGACTGAAGAAAGATATTTTTCCTTGAATGTTCGCCATTTCATTTGGAGATATTTGATTTTATTCTTCTATTACTATCATCACACTCAATCCAACAAAAACAGCTTTATTAGGACATTTCCGTCCTGTAAGGACTCGCCATACATCATTTTCATGGAGAAAAGGAAAAAAGAAACATAAACAAAGGAGAGAAGGGGAAATGAAAAGGAAATCAAAGTATTCAACATAACTATACAAATTAACTATGGAAAAAAATTGTTCTGTAATTTTAGTTCTTAGAGATTACCTTGTTCTCTAACGCTTTATGAAAGTTAAACAATTCTATCGCTATATATTTTTTCTCGGACATTATTCTGATTAGCTGAACTGGGTTCACGTAGACTTGGATAATGTTCTTTAAGATCTTATTCCGTTCCTCGTTAACAATAGTGCATTCAGAGATGTAGTGGGTCATTTCTTCTATGCTTTCAGTTTTGCAGAATTTACAATTTACATATTCCTTTTTACACTCAATCCATAAATATATAAGAAAGTTCATCATTGACGAGTCAAGTCTTCTCAAGTAATCAGTATATATATAATTGCAGTAAGGAGTATGTCGGAACAATAATCAAAATGAAATTAGCGTCGATACAGTTTCACAATTTACTAGTTTTCCCTAATCTACTTTGATTTCTTGACTATATTTGGTTTTATATTAAATAGTATTATGGGCTGTAAAGGGGGGCGGTTATAGTAGGAGGATGTTTCTATTTTATATACCATCAATTTAGAGCCCTTTATCTCGCTGAAAATTCGATACAAATATACAGAGTGGCCTTTAAGTGACGAACCTTTTTTTTTAATTAATTTTTTGGGACTTATGAGCCACCTTGTATATTAAAAACAAACAAAAAGGTTTATACTGACCACTCACATGAGAATTTTAGATCGCAAAGGCCATCTAGTGGAACAAAAATCAACTAAACATTGACTTATTTCTTGATATTTGGCCAGCCCATTTTCTTTATAAATCAAGAAAAGCTAACCACGTACGCGTTTCGGGCTGTTGGCCCTCGTCAGCGTGGTGCAAGCTGTACCTCCACGACCAAATGTTTGATGCCAGATGCTTCCTGAAATAACAATAAATGGGTATTTAAGGCCTAACTTGCGTAAATATGCTGTGAATGGCGCTCTGCCATATAAAATGCTCATTTGAGGGGTCAGGATATGCCTTTTCTGCTTTTAATATCAACAACTGACTTTTTCTATCTTTTCTTTTTTTCACATATTGGAGAAAGTGGCGAAACAGCTGGGATGGTTTACCACTGATGAGCCATGCCCTCCCTCTTTCAATTTCTATTCATTGTAGTATAAGGTCTGAATAAATATGTGTTAATAATATATATTTAAAAACAAAAGTATAGTTTTGAAAATATATTTATAAGGTTTAGCGATGTTACTATTGACGTACAAATGGTAATGAGGAGAATGTGGTGTTCAGGTGCGGGTGGTGAGCCAGGAGAAAGGTGAGCGCAACTTCCACATCTTCTACCAGCTGCTGAGTACGCCGGACATCCATCTGTTGAGTGAGTACTTCTCGTGTACTCTAGTACTGTTTTATAAATCACTTTATATAATATTTACGAACGGAAAAATATGTCCAGGGATTGTGACTGTAGCCTAGTGGACATGGCATCTGCCCGGTAAGCGGAACACTGGGTTCAATTCCCATCCCTGGACACTTTTATTTTTCCGTTTATCATTACTTTTCACAATTCATCCTTTCAAACTTCATCCCTAAGATTAGAAATAATCGTTATTTCTCCTTAAAAATAAATTTCGATTTTTCGTTTAAAAGAAACACATGCGGGATAATTTTCAAATGTCGTTTTACAATCATAAGCCGCATTATATTGTATTATAAATTACTGTAAGTATAGAATGCCTTGTGACTGATTATACTGTACGTGGGGAAGAAGTTTTCCCACCCTCAACATTCACCCTTGAGGGGAGTGGAGAGGCAACTTGAAACTCTTGGGTCTTCGCTCTGTGTGTGCGCCATTGGGAGCGTCCTTGTCGTGCGCGAAAATTATACCAGTGCTAGGGCTGTGTGCTGAAAAACCAAGGGGTACACACAGTAGTAACACCCCCGCCTTCGCGTTGGTTCCCTGCGTAACCTCAGAACCTCAGAGGTCCTTGATTCGACGGCAGATTCAGGGAGTACTGTGACCAAAGGGTTCTAGGGCCAAAGGGGGGGGGGAGTCCTATTGGAACTTTATGACGGGTTTAACTAAGTC